ACGATTTCTGACCAAACGAAATTTTAAAAAAAAAGGAAATGACCATTGATTGCCACCAGCGTGCATTAATTAACTCTCGAGAGAAGTAGCCACTAGTATCCACTGACAGTGGGCAGCAGCTGTTGATGCCCACTGTAAGTCAAATTGAAAACACAACAAAACAATATACCTTAGCTGTCCCCATAGCGGCTCAGATCTACAGAAAAAGAAGGGACATCCATCGAGATAAAGTGGACAACGTCCGATACAATCATCGATGTTCATATGCGATAATTCATAATGCGCGCAATATTCATCGCGACGAAAGCTTTCGTTACAGCAGTATGTGTACACGGAAATCCCACTACGTACGCATGGCATATTTTCACCTTTACGAAAAAATGCCGAAAGACGATCACGAACAATGTTCACCTGAACAATAAGTGATGCGACTTCACTGCTACACAGTTCCAAGTCATTCAGCAAAACTGTTTGGAAGTCAGTGTGAAGCTTTCGGTTTTAATAAATCGATTTTTTTTTCCAAAATTTTCTCTTGCTTTCCCTCTGCTTCTTTCGCTTCTCTGCTTTCTCCCTTTTGCTTCTCTTTCAAGCACTGCAACCGTCATACTGACGAGGTCCTGTTGCACGGCTGAGTTAAGGCGTATGTGATTCAATGAACCGAAACGTCTTATCTCATTCTTACTTCCCAGCCTCAATTTCCATTGTTATCTTCTGGATTTTCACCAGTTAAGCTTCTGGGGTTGATCTGGTTGTTGCAGTTTACTTAAAAAGGAATGGGACATAGGCGATTAAGAGTTCACTGTTTGAATCACGTGTTTTAAATCTTAAAAAAATACAGTAGTGCTCAAGCTCAGGTTATCTAATATGCTATGATACGACATTCCGGTGATGTGCGTGGTATCAGTGGTATTTTCTTCTATTCATGTTTCATCCTTAGGCTGCAAACAGAGTTAGCTTTAGATGACGGGGGAAGGATGCACTAAGGTGCGACAGCTATTTATCACCATCACTGCCCCAACTGTTTCCATGAAATTGGAGATATTACTGAGATGCAGCTAAATGTAGCTACGCCGAGCTGCTATTGTAAGGCTTCTAAGAAAAACTGACATATAAATTTCTGCTCTCGTAGAAGGGTGGCAACGGTGACACTTTAACAGGAGCTTGTTTTTCTTCATCAGCAACAACGTCTTTTTCAAAGCTAGCATTGCCCAGCACGTGAAGATGCTGACTTGCTGGATCAGCTTTGCACAAATAGCAATGCTCAAATGGAGAACGTTTCTGTTTCAGCTGAATTTCCTGAAAAAGACTAACGTACAGTACACAGTAAAACTATTACAGAAGTGGTAATTACCGGAAATATTGAATAAAATTATCAATTAATTACTAATTAAAGTTTCTAACTGATTTATTCCGGAAAATCAAAATGGTCCTGTTCGCCAACACCCAAGAAATATTATAAAGTTGGCTATTATTCAGTAAATTAGCACAAAAATTTGATTTTTTTACACCAGTATGACAAATTTTTTTAAAAGTTGTAACCTAGGCTGATTAATTTATTAGCAAAAATGGTAATCATCAAAATTGCCTAAACATTTGATGCAGAATTCATGATATTATAAAAAGCAAGAGACAGGAAGGCATGGATAGGCAGAAAGAGTTCTGGGAGAGAAAATTGGGCCAGCAAAAGAAAAAGGAATGGCAATTGGAAACAAGAGAAAGGGGCGAACGCACTAATGCCATATTTCAAGAATTTTAGCTTTTTCGAAAAAAACAGGAATTCAACATTTTTAAACACCACATTTATCTTGTAAATTATTGCTTAACAGTGAACAGTAAGAATACTCAATGCTCGCATCTAAAAAACTGTCAAAACTGACTCTCACTGCCCTGCCACTGCCTGCCTTGAATGAAGCCCATTTTCGAAAACCGTTGCGACCAAGAAGGAATCGAACCACCTCCCTTCACATTCGGGGTGCAACGTGCTACCCACCACAATACCAGCTCGTTTGTCTGGCAGCACATCTACTGTGTATCTGCCCTTAACGACAGAATGCACTTTTCTTTTTTGCCGCCTCACAGAGGCATTATGCATCTCTTTATAGCAGCTTCTTTGCTGGCTTTTCGCGGATATTTCACGACACTCTTTGCCCCTCCCCTTTCCCACTTCCTTTTCCATAAACCTCCTCCCCCCAAATAAGATTATTTAGCTGCCTTTTCTTTAAGAGGATGACCGCTATCCAAACTTCATTTCAAAAGGTAGAAAAACTAAAAATCATTACGATTTATTTTAATTTCGTGACTTTGTTAGAAGACTTCAATAAAAAAATAACAGAAACGGAACTGTAACAGATTGTTTTCAAGAAACCTTTTGTCTGTTTTCTTCATCGCTACTATCCTCATCCTCAAAAAAAGGCTGTCTTTCAAAGGATAATCGCAGCGGCATCATTGGATGGCAAGGATTCTGGAAATCAGTAAGCAATTTTCGGTCTTCACGACTTATCCGATAGGAATCGATGATTTCTTCCTGGAAATCAAAAATAATTTGAAAACACATGTATGTGTGATTCATTTTATAATTTACAATATTTGGAATAACAGTGCGCATCACCTCTATTTTCGCTCAATATCAAAAAGTATATTCCCAGAAATCCAGATTTCTATTTGCTTAACCAAAAAAATATGGGTTGAGCAGTTAGAGCAGTTACATACGCAACAACCCCGTGACAATATGCGTTTTGTACTGTTGCTACACAGCACAATGCGCATAAAAACGAAAAGACAAACCTGATCAGCAAGCGCCATGCAAACATCTATTTCATGTTCGTTAATTTCCGGCGCTGTCTCCCATTTCTCCAATCCTTTTGCCAGGCGTTTCAGCTTACGTTTTGCATAGTTACTCAGGATTCGTCTATTCCACTGGACAGCGCAGAAAACTGCGGATGCGCAACAGTGTTCCAAATGCTGTTTTATTTTGTAACGCCGTAACCACAGTGGGCAACCGTATGCCTGGCATAAACATGGTACAAAAGCCTGAAAGTTTCCAAATTTAAAAAAAAAAGAATGTTTTTGTTTACTTACAAATCAAGTTATTTTAAATTTCTGATTGCCCGCACTTCTAGAAAAAAAGCCAGTTTTGTAGGCTGGGAAGGCCTGAAAAAGAGGATCTTTTCAAAATGTATCCGGCGAGATTCTACTGTTTTTTACTCCACTTTGGTCGATTATCGAAAACAGGAATAGCGGCTCTGTAGGGCGCATCACAATTAGTTTCGGCGGCGTTTTTTTCAGCTAACGATGCCCCAGAGCTATCCGAGGCATATTGTTCTAGCTAAGATTAAAAAGATACTGCACATTAAACTGTATATGTCGTTCATATTTGGGATGTTCAAATTAGTTATTTTTTAAGGTTTGTTTCCCCAACCGCGCAGCTGGCAACCTTTCCAGCATCTTCGACGTATCGCGTAAAATTCAGCACTGTGATATTCTGTAAACCTAATCACCATCACTTCATGCCTGATCATTTTTTCCTGAGTCGCTCCAATAATAGTAATTAACAATAATAACAGCAATTATAATGATAATTATTATTGGAATAATAATAACGATAACAATGACAATTATTATAACGACAATAATAACAGCAATAGCGGCAGTAACAAATAATATAATATTAATAATCATCTCACTACAACGCTCCTCGAAGATGAATTCGCCACAGTTGCGGTTTAATAACCTGTGTATTAATAGCTATGTTCAATTTCGATGATATCGTCTATGCAACTCGAACAAACTATTGTGCAAGATGGAAAAAACAAGAAAAATTGCTATGACAAGTTTGCAGCATAAAGTATCTCGCTGCTTCAGTGGAAAAAAGTGAGACCACACCCATAAATGAAAGTTTTGCCGACACAAGAACTTTTTTGCGCATGTAACATGTTTCTTGGTCCCAACGGCGAGATTTCTTGCTGAATCAGACAGTGTCAGACGCAACCCCTGAACTGTCAAAACAATTTCAAAACAGGTCCAATGACAGGTAAGAACTGCAATAAGCTATCGATCAAATTAATCAAGCTCTCTCCCCACACTCTTGAGAATTGCATAGTTCCATCGACTAGCCGACGCCTGCCTGTTTTATGTGCGCCAGCTCTTCAGAGGTTGTCCCATTGGTCGATTACTTTCTCGTTAGTGCAGCTCACCAATATGCGTCTGTAACAGTTGTTACCAAGTTACTTACCGTTGTTAATATACCTTTCTATTATTAATTGTAAGCAGATTTTCTTCCCGTTCTCAAGCAAATAAAATGCACTCTGAACACATGCAAACACACACAGAGATAGAGTCTCAATAGTATGCGTTTTGTGCTGCAACAGTCGCATAATAAGTTTATTCGCTATATGGTGCGTTACGAGACCGTGCTGATGATTCCCATTCCTACCCTCACTCATTACTCTGTGTCTTTGCTCCCCTCTTTTGTCGTGTTTTCTCTCCTGTCGTCTGTTTAATCTAGCCCCGATTGATTGGTACACGCTTGCAACGAGCATGGTGAGTAAGAGACTGTACTGATGATTCCCACTCCTGTTTGCACGGTATATACGGTTTGTGTTTACAGCTAAGGGATGAAATACAGACTGCTACTTAACATGTCTCTGCTACACAAGATATTTTAATTAATCCCTTATCATTTCATGACATTTTAGAAGTAGGGGATGAAGCACCGAATGATTATTTATGCTCATTTACAACACGGCATAAATTTCATCCCAGCTGATCTTATATTTCTTTCTGGTTGGGTGAAAGACTTTATCATTCTCATTCGGAAAGACAGTGCCCACTCGATGGGTTATAGGCCTTTCTGTTTCTCGCGTGGAACATTTAAAAAACATCAGAAAAAGTGAAAACCTTTGGACAAATCGTTAGATGGTCTTCAAGCTTGCAGGTATGCAATACGGCTCGACATTCTGGACATGGACGTAGTTCACACTGGCTATATGTACAACGAGTCCGGAAACAATATATGCAATGGATGTGATCATCGATGTGCATTGAATTGGTCGTTGAACGAGTCGGCCGCTCTTCCGGGCTGCTATCCATAGCTATTCCAATTGCCACTGCACAAAAAATTTGCAGCCAAGCACTACTCAAATTCGCTCGCTAATGCTAAAATTTTATTTCTCAGATTTAGCAGACTTTGAAAATACCGCCTACGCTGAAAAATTGTTGGAAAAAGGAAAGAACTGACGGATATGCGGAAGGAATAAAGGCGGTCAATCCGCTTTTCTTCATTACTCTTGCCCCTCGTCTCTTTGGAATAAAGTTTATTTTATATTGAATTTTCTACCCCTCAGTGGTTAGCACATCTGTAGACGAGTGGATATTATAGAATCGCGGCATTTCATTTGAGATGTGTTACAACTTGCTGTCATCTTGCATGTACCATAATTCACTGGTTAACGCTGCTTTTTCTTGCCCTTCATGCGCAATGTCCTATTCTTCCGTTAGCGAGAATGAGAGATAACAGATGGACTGTGTACAACTGGACAACGTCGTCGTCCGGAGGCGGTGCCGCGATGCGCCGTCCATCGTATTGCGAAATGATGACTCATCAAATTTCGCTGTCTGGTGTGATGATCGATAAACACCACTTCTCCACAACAAATCTTTGTTAGATAATAGCACTGATGACTACAAACGGCATACAAAACCGGGCCAAACAGCGCATCGCTTTCACACAGCACAACCGAACAATGTGTGCGAAAAAAACAAAGTCATAAATCATCTGCTCTCACACGATTATTCGTCTTTTGGCGACTAGAATAGATAGCTGAATGATTCTCATACAGTAGCAAAAAAGAACAGGGTAAGTGGGCAATGTGTCGAGTGGGTCTATTTGGAAGTTATCATGTAATATGAGCGAAAGACAATATAAAGAATTTATTTAAAGCCAAGGTAGAAA